CATAATGGTACAGTAGAACAAGAGGTAAAATTTTTTGGCTATATTCACTCACTCACCCACCCACCCACCGACTCACACACACATGCACACACATGCACACACATACGTTCACACATACACACACTCGACACACTTCGTCAGTACCTCGCAGATTGGGAATAGTTCATTGCCAGTAACGAAAGCAAGAGAATTCGCTGAGAATTGAGTAAAAGATGGCTCCTCACAAGTAGGGAAAATAGAGGTTGGACGAGATTGCCATGGCGGAAGTAACATGGAAGGGATATTCGGACGAGATTTCAGTTATTGCAGTTTCACAAAGAGCTGACTTCATCAAGTCAGAACTGTTCAGAATTGTCTTTCACTGTCGCTATGGGTCAAGTTGTTTGAACTTTCTACATGGTTCCCTTGTGATCGGTGCAGCCCTACAATGCCGGTGAAACTCGTCCGAGGACACACACGGGCCAATCTTTGACACTTTATATACTTCCTAACTAGCTCGTTTTCCGATCTAATAGTGCCAGATATGGTAACGTATACGTGTGGGCCTCAAATTCATCCTGCGGAGGAATCACAGAAACCATTTTAATCGTGAAATGTGCGTTTAAGCGTTCCCATCCCATCCCCTGGACTCTTAACATATTCGAACGCCATGGCTTCGCGGGAACAGAAGTTATGAATTCTCGCCCAAATATTTATTTCGTGCAAGTCCCACCTACTCTGGGTGAACTCCGGCCCTGTCACCCACCATGGGTGCTCTCAGTGCTCCTGTCTCCTGTACTTCCACCGGATTCGAACGCTCCAGGTCCAATAGATAAGAGTTGTGAAATTCTGGTCGGCAAACACACACACATTCATACATGCATACATACATACATAACTTACATACATACACGCGAACACCAACAGACATACTTAGCCGACTATATATTACCAATTAGGCCGTGCACGTCAACGCGTGCAACATATCATCAAGCGAGCCGTATTGGCAGTGAGATCAATATGAACAGTGCCAGTAGGTTTCTTATTTCATAACATGTTTCTCACCCTCATTGTTGATATATCCTTGTGACATCTCACAATCCTCATCGTGCCTATGTGACTTTCTGCGAACGTATGCACAAATCGACACACAAACAGACACACAAAGTTAGCGCTTTTGATCTAGATGTAAGGAGGATAGCTTTTCAGCACTCCCACAAAGAACGGATTGAATCGATCAGCCAATGTCAGCATTGATCCATTCAGCTGCAAGCTTTACTTGATATAACTTGTTTTGACTTGTCAACTTGTGGGATTATCGTGTTGCGTACCGCGGCTAATTAACAATAGTCAACACAAAGATCATGTTAAAACAAGTTATACCGCGTACTGATATTCAGGGCCACGCAACATAGCAAGCGCTTTCTTACAGCTATCAAATCTGTCACAAAAGCCGTACAGAGTAGAAACTATTGTCCAAGACCGGGTACGGGTTAGTCCCCCATCTTCTCTGTCCTGAGCGAAAAATCCCGTCGAACTCGAGAATATGAGGTGAAGCCAACGCATTTTAGCAAAAGCTTTTCTGATTTTTGTTTTAATGGTTCATCCAACTGAAATACTTCGCTCTGGGTCGGGGCGAAAACAAAAACGTGGATTTGCGTTTCTCTTTAGGATCCAAAGGCGTGTGCTGCGCTGAGCCTTCTATTAGCAGAGTATTTTCCTGAGCCCAAAACTGTGTGATTGGTTCAGCTGAAAAGTCTGCAGAACCCCACCTTGTCGTACGAACACTCTTTAGTGAAAGGATCAGAGCTAAATGTATCAGGCAGACTTCTTCTTAGGACTTCATCTTAGGACTTTGCCGATAGCCCGAACAAAGCAATTCAACGACTGTATTCCCTGATAATGTGACAACAGAGTCCCCTATTAATGGTTAATGGGATAGAAAACCTGAAGTGACATAAAACGTGTATAGTTTCCGAGTTCCCCAATGTAAGACTGCGATATGATCCGAAGCCGTCTCTTTTGAAACATGAATGAGGCAGGAGGCAGAAACCTCGTACAAAGGTGATATGGTGTAATATGGAAATCGCCCAGTTTGCAAGTCTTCTATAGATGAAGGCTTGTGGATTTACGAGTGATCATAGTGTTTACCGACCATATTACAAGTCGTCTTTGTGCTGGCTGCACACCTTCCGGAGGTAAAGTTGCTACGTTTTGTGGTGATCATTCCTTTCGCATCACCCAAGTCAAGTAACGTTGCTTCCAAGCGTGCTAATGCTAAAAGAGAAACGGGAGGCTTCAAAAAAGCATTAATTAGGGTTATCACGAGAATGTGACGACAAAAGTTGCATGGAAGGAGTATTTGGGCGAGCTGTTCAAATCTGCGCGTCACTGCTCACAGCTGACTACGGTAAGCGGCTTGCGTGCACGCGCGTGCTTTTTGTGGTGGGTGCCACCCCTACAGCCTTCACAACAGCGTGCATTCAAGGGAACATTACGAGAGTAGAGTTTAAATACACGTATACCATTCTACATATATGAACGGTGAATAGACATTTTGATTAACGAAGTGACCCACATTGCAGTTAATTATGTTTCAAAGGGAGAAATGAAANAAATTTCAGTCTACCCCTAGGCTCCATTACCGTATGGGTGGGTGTCGGGATAGCCCCGTCGCAGATTAGCCACCGTTTGAGGTTGCTTGCAGCTGCCCTAAAGGCACAATTCACGATAAAAATGGTTTCCAAGAAATCTCCCTCTGATGAATCTGTGCCGTCCCCGCATACCACATGTGGCGCTGTTAGATCTGTAAATGGAGTAGGTCAGGCGTTATAAGAGCTCAAAGATTGCATCGTGTGAATGCCACACCTATGGTGAACGAGTTTCAACGGTCTTGTAAAGATGCATCATCTCATCTCCCTGTAGGAACTTGACAATTTGCCATGACTCAGGGAGACTGTGGAAGGCAATTTCGGACAGTTTTGGCTTAGCGTAGTCAGCTCTTCACGCAGTTGCAACAACAGAAATCTTGTCCGAATAGTCGTTGCATGCTAATCCCGTCATGGTGATCTCGTGAATTTCTCTTTGTTTTTCGAAAGCCCTCATTTTTGCGAAATGGACGGATTCTCTCGCTTTCCTCACCGCCAATGCCCTACTATCTGCCAACACTTCTAGTTTTCATCTTAGAAAGGGCACCTTAGTATTAACGTGAACTGTGCTTTCAAGCTACAGCTTTTAAAGTCTTATGAGCGAAAAGACTTGAAGGTAACGGTTTCACAGTTAAAGATGCGCGATTGCTCGCTTGTAGGATGCTCTTCGAAAAGTTGAAGTTGTGGAGGTGCGCTGGACACGGCAAAAACGTTTCCTTAATGATTTGTTTTCAGAAACGACTCTTTGGCTGCTTCCTCACGGTCTCCTATCGAGCCAGAGCAGGAGATAGATTCAAAGCTCAGAAATATGGATGTTTCGCGAAGCAATTGGACAACAACTGAAGCAACAACAACCGGCTTTCCTCCTCTCGAGGAAGCGAACTCTACTGTTACGGGAACCACGACACACCCAGTGGCCTTCACAATCAAGGACAGATTCTCCGATTTCGACGATCTATCTTCATTCAGGGATATCTCATCTGGCATTGATGAAATGAAACAGCAACAAAAAATCACCGAGGAGCCAGACCCAACCATCACGGTACCTATACCGTCCGATGATGATCTTCAGAGGGCAATCATTCAAAATAAGTCGACGGTACTCAACAGATCAACTTCTAAGAACGTTAAACAGAATATTGTACGGTATTATGTGACGGTTACGAGGGCCCCAAGCTCACAATACTCTGAAAACGCAACGACCACTTCAACAACGCAACCACCTTCGACTCCTACTACACCCCAAACTTCTACTACAACTACAATGAAGAAGTCTGCTGTATCGAGTTCGACCGCTGAACCGTCAATAACGATTCCTCTTCCTGAAAACACATCCGCCGAACAAAAGTTGAATGGAGTTTCGAGGAAGAGAACCAAGCCTCATGTGACACCGAATCCAATAAGCAGCGTTTCTTCAACGTCATCAAGATCTACAACGGATGACACTGCTGTTCCCAGCTCAGGAGAAAGCTTTCTTAAGTCCAAACATGATTCCACAATGCATGAATCGAATGTCACCAGCATCACCTTGCCTTTAACCTCGGCTACTTTTAGTTCCATGCGACAGCCTCCCCTTCCACGATTTACAAGCTCACCACTAATGATTTCCTCGACAACGAAGTCCACGAAAAAGGTTTCTGTCTATACCTTAAAGAGCAATATTTCGACTCTGTTCGAGGAGCAGAGAGCCCTTTTGACATCACCTTTCATTCCCCCTACGAATACTCTGACGAACAATGCAGAGGAGAACCTTCTTCCTGTATCTACCACAGCTGACGCTTCTCTGCATGAAGCGACCCTTCTTGCGCTGCCGTCAAACGTTCCTACTCAAGAGGGAGAGAACAGTGTCATCTCTCTAGAATCTTCCGGAACGAAAGGGGATGATAAATCTGACTCGGTGGAAGGTGCAGACGGAAATGTCGATGAGCCTCGCTATGTTACGGTCACAGTGCAGCCAAACAAATTGAAATTATCGCCACGACAACGAAGAAAGCCTTCCATGCCATCTCCAGCGAAGTCGACTGTGCCAGACCTCTGGTGGACGCCCAAACCCAGTTATTTAATCAATGGACTTTTATCGACTATCTCATCCACTCACAAAACGCCTACTCCCTCCAAGGAACTTACAAGGAGAAAGAAGGTCAGTTGTGCTACAAAATTTATTACTGGCGTCTTTACAGCAACTTGATTTCTACTACAGTTTTTGAGATTCAACTCTTTGTGATGTTACGCTTTCTACCCCGAATGTGCTTGTCCCATACAAGAGATTCATACAAAGTAGTTGCCCAATTCGATATGTCACCGTTGCCGATCTATATTGCAATACTGAGGCACTGAATTTTTACTCATAGAACTCGGAAGAAGGTTTTACAAAGTTTGTTTTTGATTTCACCCTTATTCTAGTACGGTTGTCTAGCCTAAGATACATCTTATCCCAGAAACCTAACCAATTTCATCATCCCGTAGATCGAATCGGCGAAACGTGCATCCTGCATTCTCGCCTGAAGGCTGCTTCCATCCTAGCCTTTGAAAGACGTCTAGCGTAGTACATTGCCTAAGTGTGATAAAGTGGATGCACCCACGGAATCAAGCAATACGTGGAGTGATGCCCTTGCCTTTGCTTTTCCAGTGCGAAAAAGAACGTGGACAAAAAGTGGCCGTGGAGTCGAACCCCTACCACTTCTGAAAATATAAAAATAAAGATTAGGTCCACGTTTATATTACTTCACGAAATTCATGAAGGTAGTTGCATAAGAAATCTAGCACAAACAGCAAAACTTAGGAGAATCTCACAAAGGATCTCTGAGCAATTAGACGCATTTCTGTTAAAGTCTCAGTGCCTCAGTGTTCAATGTGTTGAGTTCAATAATTCACTGTATCACTCTCAAACCTAACAAATATGTTTTTGCAGGTCACTTCCTTGACGAAGAGTGGAAAGGCTGACGAAGCTGCACGTGGGTTGTCTCCATTAGTGCCACTTGCTCGAGCATCAGCTGTGGGCCAGTTTATCTACACGACTACGATCCCGCCTGAATTCGCTTCTATTGAGCTCCACTCGACTAGTGGATTTAACCACAGAAAAACGACACATATGAATGTGCCCGAGTCCCACATTCAGCAGTTGAAGTCTGAGCTCGAATTCCTAGGCGTTTCTGACGGAGGGAAACCATTTGCAGCCATGGCTCCAGCAAGGCCTCCGATGCATTACGGCAGGGCGAGACGAAAGATAGTACTCACAAAAGAGAAAAGAGAAAAATCAGGTATGCTACATTAAACGTTTGTTGCCGCGTTCTACTTACGGAAGTTGAGAGTATCGAGAAAGAGGGTAACGGAACTTCTCCCCAATTGCGACATTCTCCCTTGCGGCATGCGGCAAATGTCACTGCAACTACCGTACCACCCTGCCTCCCCGCCATCGATATGACGCAATATTTTTCGTCGATTTCCTTTCTTTTTTATTAGTTTTCGTCGTTTTTTCGCTTTCTTTTTCTTGTTTTTATGTTTACCAGTTGGGCTACGCACGCCAATGCGTGCACCACCTGCCCACGCTTACGCCTACGATTAAATGTGTCAATCGTTTGCTCTTCATCTTGAAAATTATGAACCATTAAAGGTTTAACTGATAGGCAACCAAAAAATTGAGTAGTGCTCACTAATGTTCTCAAGTGATGATAACGCCATTATCAGATGTCGTTATCTTTGGACCTTCTTTCCTCAACGGGTACATCATTAGTCGAGAACCCCAAATTATTGGCGGTCGGATGAGCTTTGTCGTAAATGATATCAAAATATAAAGTACCCTTGATCTTCCACCGAGTTAGAAACCTTGCTGGGAGCGGTCGTAATCTATGTAATAGTGGTAATCACAAATAGATCGCAAATACCACAGGAGTTAAATTCAGTTGGAAAGTGCTCTTATCAGTTGCTATCAGCGTTATCGGTTCCTATCATCGGTCGTCTACGACTACGGAGTCCTGCCATACTCCTCATCACATGCCAAACTGTCAAGGCTCCACTATTAATATCATTATTATAGTGGCTCTACGCTCTCCAGAATTTTCATCAGCCCTTGTCAGTTTTATCAGTCTCTGGCCTGGCACCAACCGTTCTCGATCCCGTCACCGAGTACCTACGATGTCAAATCTTTCATAACCTATTAAAATTCCAAGATTCCATTATTAACAGAACGTGCGTTACAGATCTAGTGGCTCTCGCCTTCTGTGGCTTCTTGTCAGTCCCTATCACTTGTTCTCATTCTCTGTCACCAGCCGCTAACGGTCCCTTCACATCCTACACCACC